GGGGGAATCCTAATTAGGGACTTGAATGGGGACTTGAAGGAAATAAAAATGCCTTGACCTTGTGCCGTAATGGTCCTTGTTACCAATTTCTAAAGCTGGCTGAGTTACGAAATTATAGATTTTAGTTTCATATTGTGTTTTAAGACAGAGCATCTAACAAATCTACAAATAGCACAGGAACATGGCTTCTGGAATTCTACAAAACGTTAAAGTCAAGCCTTCTGGTAACTTTTCACTGTTTTCCAAGCCAAACTTGGATTATCAGTGACTGTTTAGTAAGTTAATTGAAGTTATTGTTAGCACAGGACACTTAACTGAATATGAATTCAATTCCTATGTTTTATCTCCTCAGATATTTTATCTCCTCTCTTTGGGACACTTATTTCTTCAGCTCAGGTGAGTTTTACAGCTCCGTTGCTTCTTTGTTAGAATGGTGATAAGTAATTAAACAGCTTCATAAGAAAACATACGAGGTAGGGATGTCTATGCCACACAGGTTCCCCAAGGTGGCACGTAGCTGGAGGCCGGCACCCAGCCCCACAGGCGTGGGACCCATGGCCATCAACACAGAATAGAGAGAGCTTTAGACTCGGGCTCAGGGCTGCCCAACGAGTCATTTTGGGAATTCCAATTTGAGAGTCGTCTTTTGGGGACCCTCGAAATAGGAGGAGAAGTGAAGATCAAGCCAAATTTGAGTTAGAAAAAGATATAAAACATTTCTTGCACCCACCAGGAAGTTTGAGTGAGATTTGTTCTCATTCAGGATTTCCTCCTGTGTGATTATGATTGTCACAGTAGGCCCTGTAGTGTTGATAAATCCCATCCATGCTTCAGACTCTGAAGAGATGTCACATCCCTGGAGAAGTACAGCTTTCTGTGCCCTTAGGTTTGACTGGGCCTTGGGTGTCTCCAGAAAGAATACAGGTGAACTCTCTTGTGCACTCTTAGTTACATGGAGTTGCTCAGTGCAAGGAAGGATTAAGGGTTACCCCAGAGTGGAAATGAGGAAGAGCATGGTGGACAAAATCAGGGCGTACTTATCCAGACAGCGTTGCGTGGATTTTCAAACCCAAAGGCCTATCCTTTGTACAAAGCTGACTAGTAAGTTAAGCTGAAAGGAAAGACTCCTTTCTAAAAGTCGAGGGAATTTTGTCTGAATATCTGTCTTTTTATGATCATCTGGAGGAAGGATACATTTATTACATTCCCTACTTACACTAATCAGAGACCTGTGAGAAGTGACGTAGTAGCACGTAATTGACAAGCGCACACGCTGCCGAGGCTTGCCTAGATGCAACCTTCAGAATCTGTTTTCTCAAGCAGTCTGTTCCGTTTATTCCAGTAGCCGTAACCATGTGCTCCCTTCAAAATATATTTCATCCAAATGACAGGTAGGCCTAGGAAGTAACAGTGACCCTGGTGAGGAACGTTAACCATGAGTCCAAAAGGGTGGCATTTACCCTTTAAAAAGCTCAGGAAAAACAAAACAAAAAAGCTCAGAAGGAGTGGAAAAGAAGGGTGAATGGGTACCAACAGCGGGAAGACTGCTGTTACAATGTGGAAGTTACAGGTAATGTTATGAAATAAAACATACATAAATTGTTGAATAGAAAACACCATAATTGTAAAAGATCAGGTTTGTTATTGATTGTAGCAAACTCTTTAAAAGTTATATATGTCCTAATTGTCTGTTGTCAAATTGTAACCAAGACAGAGCTGACCTTCCAGCAGGTTCTCAGAGGCAGTAAATTGCATGAGAGGAGATTCCCCTCCTTGTCCCTCAGAGGAGCTGGTGGATTTGAACCCTGTGCCTTTGTAATTGCAGCACAGCTTCTCACCACTAGGCTACCAGAGTTCCCTTCATTATCTCACAGTTTCTTTATCAAACCAGTCTCTTTCTCGGCTATGGAGTGAATTTTCTGTGATATTTTTACTTTTTTGTTTTTCCATCTAGTTTAACTACTGCTTCGATGTGCACTGGCTGGTGAGACAGTACCCACCAGAGTTCAGGTGAGTCCTGCAAATGCCAGACAAGATCACCAGCCTCCATGAGGGTTTCAAATGCTCACCGTGTATTTATTGGGCACGTGCCTTCAGTCTTTTTTTGGATGTCTTGAACCTGTTGAAATCATGTAAGTGTTAATGTTACAATGGGGGAAACAGCCTTTTCTGATCTCTCCTAATTGGGCTCACATATCCTTTTTGTAGGTTTTTGCATTTTCCTCTGTGTCCTGCCTAACAGTTGTTGTGGTTGTTAGGTGCCATCAAGTCGAGTGTGACTCATGGCAACCCCTCAAACAACAGCCCCCTGTCCTGTGCCGTCCTCACGATCCCTGACACACTGGAGCCCGTTGCTGCAGTCACCGCCTGTCCACCTCGTTGATGGTCTTCCTCTCCTTCACTGTCTCCCCCACCTTCCCAAGCACGATGTTGTCTCTCGTGGCAGTGTGTCCAAAGTATGTGAGACGAAGCTTCACCGTCCTTGCCTGCAAGGAGCACTCTGGCTGTGCCTTCCCCAAGACGCATCTGTTTGTTCTTTTGAAAGTCCATGGGACGTTCAGCATCTTTTTGAACAGCAGAGTTGATCAGTAAGTAAGGACAGATAAGAACATTTCCTGAAGAACAAGAGCATCACCGCATGCTTTCTAAACACAGAACTCACTGTCGACAGGCCCGTTCTGACTCGGGGCAGCGCTCCATCAGCTTTCTGAGGCTCTAACTCCAGATGAGAGGAGGTGCCCGTCATTCTTCTGCGTTTTTCCTGGTGGCAGATCCAAACTTTGGTTAGCAATCCAGCACCTGACACACTGCGCTCCCGTGCTCCTCTCTAGACGAGGTGGATTGACACGGTGACAGCAGCAGTGGAGCCACGTGTGTCAGTGTTTGTGAGGATGGCACAGGACAGGACAGGGTTCACATTTGTTGTTCATAAGGTCACTATGAGTCCTGCTTGACTCAGTGGCGCCTGACAGTGACAACAGGCTTGGCCAGCATGCCAAGCTTCCCTTAGCAGAGCGTTACCTCTCACTCGTTCTTTCTTGAGGAAGAGAATCTCTTGCTCCAGTTCTTTTTCTTGTTTTTGTTTTTGGCTGTCAGCGAGTCAGCCATGACTTGTGACAGCCCCACACACCAGGGACCGTAACGCTGCCTGGTGTCACCCTGTGGATTGGACATGACACCATTGTAATCCACGGGGATTCTGTTGGTGAATTTTCAAAGGGCCGAACATTAAGCAGGTTAGGGAAGGCCTCTGCCCTCGAGTCTCTTCCGACGACAGGACTGAGGAAGCACCCTGTAGGAGAAGCAGACTGCTTCATCTGTCCAAGAACAGCTGTCAGATCCAAATCAGCTTCTTCAGCGCTTACTCCACTGCTCCACCAGGGCTCTTTGAGTCTTGGAAGTCCTGGGTTTTTCATTCTATCTTCTGCAATTCAGCCTCGTGCTAGATGGTACTGATGGAATGAAAATGACTTTGCGCGCTGATGTGCAAAATACTAAAAGACTATCAAAATAGCGAGTAGGCTGCAGGAGTACACACGGGAAGATCAACAGGGTCCCCTAACACCTAAGTGCATTTAGGGCATCTTGAAACCATCACCATTAACACCAGATGAGTCGTTGTTGGAATTTCCCACACGGCCTCAGTGCTCACTGGTTCAGATCTGACCTGTGACGCAGGTAGTGGCTCGAGCCTCAGGTCTCAGCAAACCCAAAGGGGGCAGTAGCTTAAACAAGAGGGAGATTAAACTCAGGTAGTCTGAGTCGTCTGTTTGGACCTACGTGCTTAGAAATGAGTACTAGAAATGCACTTTCCAGGGTTCCTTCTTCAGCTAGCTGAGTGTTACTCCTTTGTGTGAGGTAGAGAATCATTCTGCCACATGTTGATAAATGTACAAGTAGCTGGTAAGCTACATTAATTCCAACTTCAGGCTGTCATTCTTGCCTCGATTGCTTGTTGGAGAAAAACCCATTCTTTCTGGTGTTAGGAGAACTTATTAAGAGGCTTAATTCCTAGGAATCTTCTGACTGAAATAATTAGAGAAGGCCATTGTTACTTTGTTATTGTTATGTGCCATCGAGTCACTTGTGACTCATAGTGACCCTATGTACAACACTCTGAACCCTGCTCTATCCTGAGCCAATCTTATCGTCTCTAACACAGTTACCTCCATTACCCCAGTCACTGAGTCAATCCATCTTATCAGGGGTCTTCTTCTCCTGCACTGTCCCTCTCCCCTCCCAAGCACTGGTCCCTCCTTTAACATGCCCTAAGTATGTCAGATGGAGCTTCAGAATCTGCTTCCAAGGAGCAGCCTGGTTTCACCTTCTACAAAACGAACTTGTTTGTTCTTCTAGCAGTCCATGATATATTCAATACTCTTTTCTAAAACACAGCTCAAAGGCATCAGTTCTTCTATCATCCCTAGTCGTTGCCCAGCTTTCTGATACATAGCAAATAATTACAAAGACCATGGCTCGGATCAGGCGCTCCCTAGTCTCTTGACTGACATCGCTGCTCTTCAGTACTCTGGAGAGGTTCCTGACAACAGACTTTCCTAATGCAGTTTGTCTTTTGATTTCCTGACTGCTGATGCCACGAGTGTTGATTGTGGAGCCAAGCAAACTAAAGCTGTTAAATAATCTCAATCTCCTCACCTACCATCTATCATGATGCTGCCAATTGGCCCAGTGGTGAGAATCTTTGTTTTCTTGGTGTTGAACTTCAGTTGTTCCTTTAGAAGCCCTTTGAATGTATTTCTGAAGCACATCTTCCTGTATTCTTTCAGTCATTGGAGCCTACAGCATTTCAGTGCACTTGGGGCTCTGTTTAATGTCTGCCCAACTCCCCTTATGCTGAGTCTGCATCTTGCTCTCATGGCCAGCATCATGAGGCCTTGCCCACATACTGTTTGAGGGCCTAGTGGGCACAGAGAAGCCCAGTGGTGGAATGTGTCCAGCAGACATCGACTCTACTGTCCACAAGGGGAGGAAACAGCGCTGTGGTGCCATCTGCAGTAATAACTGTCTCTCTCTTATTATTAGATGCCGACAAGTCTACAGTGACTCATAGCGACCCCATGAGCAGTAGATCTGCACGCACGTTGCCCTATGCAGCACCATCTTCACAGTCTCCCTGATCTCCCTGATCTACATTGAAATACGTTACAATCTGCATTTAAACGCAGTCACAGAGCGCTCACTGTGGGGCTTTACTCAGGGCCTTCCTCGAGTCCCAGTCCTTGTTGTGTCACAGCAGAGCTTCGGGGCCAGATCACACGGCCTCCGTTGTAAAGTGAACTAATCCATGGCCTCCCCCGAACACTGCTCTGGGCGGTCCTCGCACCCAGTCACCACCGAGCCCAGAGCTAGGATTCTTGAACCAACCACGCGTCCACCCCCACAGAGGACGTACTTTGAATACCTGTTGTCTCTTTCAGGAAGAAACCGATGCTGCTCGTCCACGGAGATAAACGAGAAGCCAAGGCGCACTTACATGCCGAGGCCAAGCCTTACGAGAACATTTCCCTCTGCCAGGTGAGCTGCTGACGCCGGGGGAGGTCCCGCGTAAGTCCGCAGGTCGGAAACAAAACACGGACAGTCAGTGCATCGTCCCACCTAGTGCAGAAGGCTGTCTTCAGCACCGCCCACAGATCCTTGCCCAGCCTTGCTCAGCTTACACACACCCCAAGCTAACCAACCCTCCTGTCTGTGGGCAGCCCTCCCGTCTGTGGGCAGCTCTTATCGTCGCCTTTCTCTTGGTGCTGACCGGCACGCTCCCTCCTGACTTCCGTGCCCTGGTCCTGGTATTTCCCTCGGGAGCCACATGAAACAGACTAGTCCTCATTGGTGATCCTTGTGGTCAGATGCACCAGCCCCTCGTTCCCTCAGTTTTTCGCTCTCTCCAAGTGTTCGCTGTCTTCATTTATGATGTAACCAGGAGTCCAGATCTTTTCCAACCTGCTCTATCTAGTTTGTCTCTGTTCCTCTCCAGCTGGGTCTAAGTTTCAGCACGGCTTGTGTCTTCTGGCTGCAGCTGGCTGGCCGTGACGCCGTCTCTGTGACGGCAGCATCCCACTGCCAGCTGATGACGAGGCATGAAATGAACTCATGACAAGTGTGTTGTTGGTTTTGCTGGGACCAAAGCAAAACAAGAAAGGTCTAAAAGCCCATCGTTCCATTTCTTTTTTACTCCCCTAATTTTGGTCTATTTTCCGGGCAGAATACGTGGATATGCAACGTTTCTAATGGTTCTTAAACTTTCCATGGCCCATTGCATGTCTAGGAGGATTTTTATGTGCCATGATGGGCCTGAGACCTACAAGGTAGGGAGAAAAGGAAGGAATTCAGGATTTTTACCTTTATGATTTCCATCCTATGAAATGGTGACTGTGAAGTGGCTAATGTTACGTTCACCTCGTCCTTTTTGCGTTTCACGAGTCTGACCAGCCAGTTCAGAAGGAGGCATGAAAATAAAGGGCTGTTAAAGGGCTATTAGCGTCCATTTCTCTCCTCGCCATCAGCTCAGGGAAACTGGCTCAGTGAAGATTGGGTTTCTGCTCTTGGAGTAGAGAGATGAGAGTCAATTCTAGAAAACCCGGTTTCTTTTTCATTTTCTTTCTGGTGCCTTTCCCTGCCCTCCCACCCTTATGAGGTCTAGGAATTCCAGCTCACATTTTATCTCTCATGTTCCTGCTATAATCGCCATCTCTCTGTGAGTGGGTGTGTGCGTGATAGTTAAACAGCAAGAGATTTCATCTGGTTCATTTTAAAAAACAAACCTCAGAGCAGTGTTCCTTCTGAGATTTAACTCGCTGCCCTTTGCATAGTTGGGTGACACTTTTTAAAACCTTCCTTCACCTGGTGTATCTGTGACTCTTGGATCTACATGGGCCTCCGCTCAGCAGTTACTCCAGATTTCTTTCTGTTGCTTCAGAAGTTGCAGTGCTGTCGGGTAGCTCTCCTCAGACGGGTGATGAACAGAGAGTGAAGGGACCCAGGGATGGTGAAGAGCAGTGACGGTCACCGCAGACGTGCGTGTGGCAGATCCAGCACTACCCGGTTCCGCACCATCCAGAACAGGTGCTGTGTGAGCTGACTGCTGCAGTCGCTGTCCCTCTCATTGAGGACTGTCCTCTCATCCACTCATCCTCTGCTTTGCCAAGCAGAATGTCGTCCTGTGGGGCATGGCCTGTCCTGAGAATATGTCCAAATACACAAGACAAAGTTTGACCTTCTTTACTTCCAAGGAAGATGTGTTACTCTTTTGGTAACAGTCAGTATTTTTTTTCTCTGAGTTTCATGTTTTTATTGGGAGCTGTGGGGGGCCCCCATCCTCGGAGGTGCTCACAGTTTCTTCAGCCACTCCAGGCTGGGATCCTGGGGGTCCTGGGGTTGGCTGGGCACGTCAGGCATGTTCCTATCATCTCTGAGGGGCACTGGGTCGCTGTAGGGGGTTATCTGGTTGATCATGGCGGCATACTTGGTGTAGGGGCTTAATGGGGGCAGAATTACAGCGAGGCCCGCGATGGTGAGGGACACGACCAGCACCGGTTTCTGGGCCCAGGCATTCTTGAGGAAGGCTGCGAGTCTAGCTGCCGTGTTGGCCTCGGCCACGGCAGTATTTTTCACCACAACCCAACACTGTCAGTTCTTTTCTCTTACTTATTCATTGTCCAGTTTTCACATCCTTATGAAGGGATTGAAAATTGCCTGGCTTGCCTCAGGTGCACCTTAATCCTCAGAATCACGTCAGATTTGACCGTTTGACTTCTTGATTTCTGCTTCAAGTGAGATCCTTGACATAAGTCTTTTCTGTTTACAATAATGTTGCTTTCTAGTTACTCCAAATGCTAAGCCATTAGCTCCTTCCCATGAAGTCTGAACCAGCTCAGAGCTTCTGATCGTCCATTGAGTTTCTGAAGCTGTAAATCAGGAGATTGCCCGTCCTTCTCCTGCAGTGCCACTGATGGCTTGGAACCATCGGAGAGGTGTGTGGCCTTTTGGTTGGCGGCACAACTCCCTATGGACTACTCAACGCTCCTTAAATGCTAACTGCTTAGACTGGAAAAGGGGGAGCCCTAGTAGCCCAGTGGCTCAGGAGTTGAGCTGCCAAATCAAAGGCAAACGGTTCGAATACAACTGCTCTGTGGGCAAAAGATGGACAGTCTCCTCCCGTGCAATTTAGAGCTTCTGGAAACCCTGGTGGGTCAGCTGTGAGTCAGTTTGACAGCTATGAGTGAATGAGTCTAGACTGAAAAGTTCAGGTGAGCCATTCACCTGGTGGTGTTCTCTGAGCCAGCCACTAGAGGGCGTTCCGAGCTGCTGTCTTCCAAACTTTGGTCAAAGAACTGGACAAAAGCTTCAAAGACAGTGACTTCATCCCAACCCATTAGTGAAATGCCTTTATTGTGAATTCTTGACTTTTTATACATAATGTCATTTGAACAGGAAAAATCCTTTCCTCTGTAGCTTCATTAAGCTGCTTGTTCATTAGTCATAAAATCTAAAGAAGCTGATACTTCTCTGATCAGTTCAGATGGGGGTTGAGGCCAAATAGTCAAGGGCAGAGGGGTGTCAGAGTGCCTGGACGCTGTCCTCTTGGCTATGTCATCCTGGCCTCATCACATAACCTCGGGCCTGATTTCTGCGTGTTTATACTGCAGAAGACCACTATTGTAAAAACAGAAGAATAACGAGTAAGATGTGTATGGATATCCAAAGAGGGAAGAGAGGGGGCTGAGAGGAGGTGGGAACCACAGGGTCACAGAGTTTGAGGGGAGGGGGAACAAAAACCAATGTGTATGAATGAAACACAACATAAACTATAAACTATTGTATGAAAGTCAATAAGAAAATTTTTAAAAGACAAAACAAAAACTAAAAAAAAAAAAGTGGACAGCTAAAACGATTTGTCATAGGGCTGTTATGAAATTGGCATTTAAGCTCAAAACTCACTGTCTTCAGGTCAAGTGGGAACCAACTCATAGCTGACCCTCCAGTGGGGTTTCTGAGGCTGTAAAACGAAAGGGAGGATATTGCTCATCTTTTTCTGAGGAGCTTTCAAAATCACCCTTTAATATTAAGCCTCAGGTCTCTTGACTTATTGTTGCCTTTTCTCAGCTAAGTAGCCATTGAAATTCTGATGTTAAAGCCTTAAAATGCCCCTGGCCGGAGTATTTTATAAATTCTAGATATAAGTTCCTTAATCTAACATGTCATTACCAAATATTTTTTCCCAATTTGTGGCCTTCCTTTTTACCCTGTTGGAGAAGTTTTTAGATGTGCATAGGGATTTGATTCTTAGAAGGTCCC